TTTCTTTGCTACATAAATAATGTTTATTTTCATTAATAATTAAATATATATATTATGTATTAATAAAATAAACATTATTTATGTAGTGAAGAAAATGTTACGATTCCTGAGAGATGCCTAAACAATCCAGCCTATTTCTAATATAAAACGCTCCTGAACCAGAGCTATCGGCGGCTCGGCCGCCAGCGGCCGGGCGGTAGTGGAGGGACAGGAGGCGTTGTCTCCAGAATTGGCCCGAAATGTGCAGCTAATTCCGAACGCTGATCTACAGTATACGTAACGTATACTGTATATACGCATATTTTTTTACTAGACTGAAACACTTCACTGCGTTTGTCGCGTCGCGTATGCGCGAAAAATCGGGCAGAATCTTGCTACACTGGACGCCAGATTTGAGACGCAAGCAGCACAAGAGAGAGAATATTGTTTGCATTTTGCGAAAAAGCATAATACTAATATATTATTATTATATATATAATATAACATACATATATTATATATATAATAAATTTAAGGACATTTAAAGATTTTAGAAACGTCCTAAAGATATCTTTTTCTAGATTTTTTATCTTAAAAATGTTTTAAATTTTAAAAGAGACATTTTAATTATTTAAGTGTGTTACGAGCATCCTAATATTGTCAAAAGCCCAGAAACATGTAGAAAAATTTAAATTACCCACTGGAATGGCTATAAATGCTCCATTTTATTCGGAATTTAAACAGCTGTTATTTTATGGCAGACTTACATGCCTGTCTGTCCCTAAGGCCGGTTCTACAATAAGTTGCAAATACTCCGTCGCCAGTCGCGAATGCTCCGTCTTACTAAAAATAACTAGAAATAGCGCTTTCCAATTAGTAGTTGCCATCCTTTGCGACCGGTGACGGGGCATTTGCAACTTATTGTAGAACCAGCTTAACAGCTGTCATTTTATGGCAGATTTACAATTGCATTCAATATACATTTAGTATCCAATAAAATACTTTATTTGCTACAAACGAAACAATGTTAAACAGATTTTCTAGAAAGCACATTTTTCCATTAGACACCTTGCATATACATAAAATATCTAACGCAATGTAAATCCTTCCATTACTTTTAGTGACATTTTATGTCACAGTATTGTCAGCTTGTTTTCACTTTCACAGTTGTCACTTTCGTGCTATTTTTTTTTGTCAGAAATAAACATGAAAATAATATTAATAGACATAAGTATAAAAGAAGAACAATTAGATTGGATAAAATGATAAAAATAAATTAAAAGTGTTTTATTCTTGGGTTTAATTTCTTGTAGAAAGTTTGATTGAAGGAATAACTGGATTGCTTGATGAATCAATATCTAAAGTACACAGTGTTGATATGCTTATCGAATCTTCATTAAACACAGAAAAATGGTAAGGACAATTTCTTCATATGTTGTTTATATGGCTGTCTTATCGTCAATCTTTCAAAACAAACTGATAGCATGCTTGATGGGAGAGGTATATCTATAGAAGGACATTATCTCATTCACCGCCTACATACTTTAACGAATAGCTTTGTTATATTAAGTTTTACGTAGTATTACTATAAAATTAGAAGCTACATACTAAAGATTATCTTTCAAAATATCTGTTTTTTAAACAAAATTACAAATTTGGATTAAATCTTTTCTTGCATTACATTTGCTATGATTTGTCTTCAGTTTACACTAATTAGGAATGATTTGTCATTAATTTGCACCAGTCGGAAATATGTATTAAAGAAGTAATATAATGTTGCAGGCTGAATCTGCAGTGAGCTCAGATTTATTTACTGCTGCCAAACAGTTAGCAGACAGCGAGATTGAGCTTATAAAGACAATTGAAAATTCTAGCGCATGCCAAAGAAGTGTTACAAATATGTTTGCAAGTGTAAAGAAAACAAAAAAATCTGGGAAATCAAGAAATGTAAAGAAATCAAGAAATATACACTGTAAAAATTTATAAAAAAATTGTACTGAACATTTACATGCACAGTATAACTGTAAAGTTCTTGGACTGAGTTTTTTTATCAAAATAATAATTATATAAGACAGCTGCAAAAATAATTAATGAAATGTTTAATACATTATAAAAAAATTTGAACATTTGCAGTGCAATTCGTAAAGACACATTGATAAATGGAATGTCAAATTAGAGGCATTCAAGCCTTATTTTGAAAAGGTTTTTAATTACTGTGTAAGCGTTATAAATTGCGTGTTGATCAACACTTTGATTGGCAAGCTTAAATTGCAGGAACATTTGCATCATCCAGATATGAGTGATGTGGCAGTCCAAATGTTATAGTGATTACATTGAGTACTAAAAACAGATATTTTTCAAACTTTGGATTTGCAACTTTATATTGGCATAGGTCCAGGAACTTTACAATACATCATAATATTAATTCTTCCCGCACAAGCAAATTTTTTTAATATATAAAAACAATTACGTAATGCAAGATATTCTGATAACAATCTACTGATAACATAATAGGTTCGTCCGTCAGCCGCGCTATTGGCTGCTAAACGACAGGCGGCGCAGCGACAGTTGTTAGAGAAGAAATCCAGTAATAACTTCGTAATGGACATATACCAGAGAGCACTCGATACGTACAAAATGATGCGAAAGGAAACTGGCCTCGTGTTTGATCGAAGCATGGCAGAACACGAATGCCTTTGGGATCCTAATTATTCCGAGTGCCCAGCCAGATTTACGCGAGTCTTGCAGAGATGCGAAGATTTGGGCCTGGTGCAGCGATGTAAGCTTATCGAGCCAAGAATGGCCACAGAAAGTGAGATCTTGACGAAGCACAGTCAAAAGCAAATTGACATTCTGAAAGCGACCGATGGCTGTGCGGATTCTGAGAACTTGGAGTTGCTGTCCTCCAAATATGATTGTGTTTTTGTTCATCCGGTAAGTGCAGAGATAATTCTGTTTTATACAAGTAAATAAAAAAGCGATAAAAATAAATAATAGCCAATAAACTTGTGTTTCGAACAATAATCGTTTTAAAATATCTAAAATTATTATATGTATACATTTATTTAATTTGCAGTCTACGTACAAATTATCTTTACTGGCTGCGGGCTCGGCGATCAATTTGGTAGAAAGTATTTGTAAAGGCGAAGTGCAAAATGGCATGGCTATCGTCAGGTAAGCTGGCAATATTTAGGGATAACATATTAAAATTTCAATTTGACTAGGATTAATCTTATCTGCAGTAAAATAATTTTCTCAAAAAATTTAATATTAAATGCAGATTTTATTAATACCATTACATTTCTTTATATTTTGAACGATTTATGTGATATTATTAATGGTGAACATTTTTTCAGGCCACCAGGTCATCATGCAATGGAATCGGAGTACTGCGGTTATTGCTTCTTCAACAATGTAGCTATTGCAGCGACGGCAGCTTTGAATTCTAATTTGGCGAGTAGAATTTTAATTGTGGATTGGGATGTTCATCACGGACAAGCGACGCAACAAATGTTTTACAATGATCCACGGTACGTATCTCCTTTTTCATTTGAATCATTCCGTTGGACTAGTTTTCAAGAACACATTAAAAATAATCCATTGATTAATTAATAATTTCTGTAACGACAAGTTCTCTCAATGCTTTCAAATTCTTTACAGTGTAGTCTATTTTTCGATACATCGTTATGAACATGGCGAATTCTGGCCTAATCTGAGGGAATCTGACTTTCATTACGTTGGAGAGAATCTCGGAGAGGGTTACAATTTTAATATACCATTAAATAAAACTGGAATGACGAACGCTGATTACATAGCAATTTTCCAACAAGTTTTATTGCCAATGGCTTACGAAGTACGTGATACATCGTTTATGTTCGTATATTGATTGATGAAATTGAACTTTTATTAATTGAAACATTGACGTTATTGTAGTTTCAACCGAATTTGGTAATTGTGTCAGCTGGTTATGATGCGGCTCTGGGTTGTCCAGAGGTAAATTTGCGCATATATTTATTCTTCTTTATTTTTTTTTTCCTCAGTTTTCTCCAGATCTCGTTCTTATTTCCGCCGGATTCGATGCCGCTATCGGCGATGAGAAGGTTAAAATATTTTATTTTATTCATTTAAAAATGCATTTGTTACTTATAAGAATTTATTTATATATAGTCTTTTAAATTTTTTTACTGAAACAGCGATTTTTTAATAATATTTTTAAATCCCAAATAATTAATTATTAAATAAATTGCTTGACAGTAAATTAATGATGTTGATTAATACTTTGCGTTAATGTACAGGGTGAGATGCTGGTAACTCCAGCGTGTTATGCGCATTTACTGTCGTCACTATTGAGTCTGGCAGCTGGAAAAGTCGCCGTGATTTTAGAGGTAAAAAAGATACTTTTAATTGTACGTTTATTATGATTGCAATTTTTACTTAGGTATTATTTCACTCAAATAATTTGGCATTAAAGGTAATGTTTTAATATGTAGGGTGGTTATTGCCTGAAATCTTTAGCAGAAGGTGCAGCTTTGACCCTAAGAACTTTATTGGGCGATCCGTGTCCCATTTTACAAACACTCGATTTACCATCATCAAGGTAAATGATAAAAAAATCTATTTATTATATAAATATGAATATTATTACTGTTATTCTTATGAGTATGTTATTAATAATTGAATTTTTCGTTGTTTTAGTATACGGGACACTATTTTGAACGTGATCTATGCACACAGACCGTACTGGAAGTGTTATCAGTATCAAGATACGCATAGTGTCAATAGTGTAACTCACAACAAAGAGGAGATTGCCAATCGACATGTAATTATAGTCACGTACAAGTAAGAAACTACAAATATTATTTAATTTATATAATATTTAACGTAATCGATTAGAATAATTTAAAAAATCGACCATTAATGTTCCTTTAATGTGTATAATTCCTAATTATTTGAAAATACTTTGTTGGGCATTTTCTGCAAATTGCTTCTGTTAAAAAATTAAATTATACATTTTTTAAATTATATTTATTGTAAATTCATCATTTAAAATTCAAATATCTGATGCAATTGATTATTTTTGACCTAAATTTATCTCAATTGTATTATTAATGTAATAAATGCTATGTTTTCTGTTTCAGAGGCAGTGAAGTTAAACCAGACAAATACGACACTCGAAATTGCTATCCTGTACAGAGCACGGAGGTTTTCGATGCCATGGACAAAAAGTTGAACGACCTGATACTATGTAAGATATAATTATTGTTAGCTTATGTACTAAATTATTGTTTATATTAAAATTTTTTTTCTCAGTTACAAACTTGCGCAAAGCGCCGCATAAAGTGTGCATTGTCTACGATGATAAAATGCAGAAGCATTGCGACATTTCTGACAACACACATCCAGAGAAACCAGTTCGCATCTCCAGCATTTATAAGAGTCATGAAGAGCATGGCTTGCTGGAACGATGTTATTTGCTACAAGTAAGATAATATAATTATCTTTTAATAAAGACTCTTAATTTTTATCTAGCGATTATTTAAGTAAAGACTGAAGTTAAGATTTGAAAAATTTATTTTAAATAATTTAATGTAAACTTCACTTGATTCAATATAAAAGAAAATTTTATAAAAAAGTCTAATATATTTTCTTTTTTTCTATAAAGGGAAGAAGCGCAACAATGGAAGAATTGTGCTTGGTTCATTCGAAGGATTACATCGACAGTATCAAGAGAACATCAACTTTAAAACTCAAGGAGTTACAGAAACAAGCATCGGACTACAATTCCGTGTATCTTCACCCTGATACGTGGTCGAGCGCTTGCATATCTGCTGGCTCTCTTTTGCAAGTGGTGGACGCAGTTTTGAATGGGGAAAGTCAATCCGGAGTGGCCATCATAAGGCCGCCTGGTCACCATGCCGAAGAAGACACTGCGTGTGGATTTTGTATTTTCAATAACGTGGCGGTGGCTGCAACTTACGCTGTACAATTTCATCATCTAAAGAGGTACAACACTCTACTCTATTGATGGCGAACTTTTTAGTAATAATTTATATGTTTGCAGGGTACTGATAGTAGACTGGGACGTGCATCACGGAAACGGGACGCAATCTATATTCGAGGAAGACCCGAAAGTTCTTTACATCTCCGTTCATCGTTACGACAACGGCAGCTTCTTTCCGAACTCGAAAGCGGCCAATTACACGAGCGTCGGTTTAAACGCGGGCGAAAGATTCAACGTAAACATACCGTGGAACAAGGTAAACAAAACGATATCTATTAAACTGTGTCTTATATATTCAAACTTTTTCATTAGCTTACAAACTCTTGTACTTGAATAACTGCGTGTGTTGTATCGGTATAATTAATATATAACAAGTTATATAAATTACATTTAACATTATTATCCGTCGATTGATTTTACATTCGTAGAAAGGAATGGGAGATGCGGAATATATAGCTGCTTTCCAGCAAGTCGTGATGCCCATCGCTTATCAATTTAATCCAGAGCTAGTCTTGATTTCTGCTGGATTCGATGCTTGCATAGGCGATCCACTCGGAGGTGAATACATCTTAACAATAAATATATAGCGTTTTAGCTTATCTTCTTAATAATGCAATATTTTTCTCAGGCTGCCAAGTGAGTCCGGAGCTCTACGGCCATTTAACTCACTGGCTCTCATCTCTGGCTAACGGTCGCGTAATCCTCAGTCTTGAGGGAGGCTATAACATCAATTCCATCTCCCACGCTATGACCATGTGCACCAAGAGTCTGCTGGGCGATCCTCTGCCTGTGCTGGATCCTGGTCTGATCCCCTGCACTAGTGCAATCAATTCCATTAACAACGTGCTGAAGACTCATAAGAGATTCTGGCCCAATCTGCAATATGGAATGTCCTTGCCGAAAGAAAATATACTTCCCAAACTTAAGACAGCCAATAAACTTGAAGAGCAAGGAAGAAACGTGGAGAAGCAGAAACGCACCGAATCGAAGATCGCTTTGGAAGTAATCGAAAGTGAGAAACTGGAGTTGAATTTGGCGATCGATAAGAACTGTTTGAATCTCGTGACGGACGAGGAGATTTTGAAGCTGACGAACGAAGTGGAGAACATTAAAATTAAGAATTCCGAACTGGACGCGGGGAGAAGTGAAGCGGGCGAGATCACGAGGAGTTCGAGAAAGAGCGAGGCGAAAAGTTTGGACGGTAAATATCATCGTAAATTCACGATTCAGTTAATTTTAAGTATTAAATTGGCGCAAAGGTTTATCACTTCTTCGCGAAGGCTTACTGTTTTAAATAAAATTACCAATTTTCATTCTAAAAGATCGAAGTCTTTTTAAAGATAAAAAATATATTGCTAATGGTGATTTTAGTTCATAAAAATTTATTTGACACTCTGCAATTCTTATTAATTATTATATTCAGAAACAATGTCCGTGACTTACAGTTTCACAGAGTATACAACAATGCGTAAACGAGTCGAACCAGCCGAGAAGCAGCCAGCAAAGAAGTTCCAGCACACACGAGAGCCGCGATGACGAGGGTGCGGCATCTCTGCAACCTGAAACGCGTTCTACCCTCATGGAATATCTCTCTGACAATCTTCAGGTGAAGCTTTCTTATACTTTACGCAAAATATTTTATTGCAAAATTTTTCCTTCCAGATAGATATAACATTGTTACTTTATTCATTGAATGCACATATAATACAAATGAATAAAACGATGATGCTCCTTGCGCAGGCACTGACGGCAGGGGAAATGTTCGCAGTGATGCCCTTGCGAGACTGTCCGCACTTATTTACAGTCAATGAGGTTCCTTCGGGCGGAATCGACGTGACTGCTCCGTGCATGGAATGCGTCAGTACCGCGGAGAATTGGATCTGCTTACAGTGTTACACTGTGCACTGCGCTCGTAATGTTAATCAGCACGCCATGCAACATGCGGAGGAGTGTGAACATCCCATTACACTCAGCTTCAGCGATATTTCTGTCTGGTGCTACGGTTGTGAGGCGTACATCGATAATCCTGTAAGTGTTTCTTTTAAAACGCGCTTCTTAAACGAAGACTTAGAATAAAATAATGTAAAAATCTGTTAAATTAGAATCAATAATTTTTTGAATTTTAACATTGACAATTACTGCATTTTCAGCGATTGTACGCTGCAAGAAACGCGGCTCATCAAAGCAAGTTCAATGAGGAGCTTCCTTGGACTTATAGCGAAACTAGCGTAAACGTATCTTAACTAAAAGAATATACGTTAACTAAAAAAAATTATAAATTTTTTTTAGGCTTTTTTTCAGGCTTTGCGTAAAAATTCAAAATTGAAACATAATCAATATAGATTAAGTCTAAAATATTAAATAATTAATACAGGACGCAATATTTTCTATAATTCAACTAAAAGCCGTTGCAAATAATCGAATGGTAAAAATTGCTTAATTTCAATAGCTTTTATTCGAGTCATTGATTATTAACTTCATTAAAAGAATATTTTAATTATACTAAACTAAAAATACCTCGTGCTAGCTCAACGGATTGTAGGATGCATGGTGTTCCGGAAAATTCAGAAATTCAATGAGTTAATAAATTTCTAAGCAAGTTATCTTTTCAATTCTTCTGCAAATAATGAATTAATTCATTTTCATCATTATTTTATTTATTAATTTTATTCATTAAATGATATTCCATAAAATTTTTCCGGTATACCATGTACATTATATATTTTTCTATATATATTCCGTTCCATGAGAGTGATTCTCTCAGGAGATAGAGCATAACAAATAATAAAGATAAAAATTATATCAGAAAAAAAAAATAAACTTTCTTTAATAGGAATTTGTAATTAATTTTTTAATATACTGTGCAATTGCACATGAATTGTGCAATTAAAAATAGAATAATATACATTTTCTATTTCTAATATTACACGCAGAGCTGGTTGAAGTTTGGAACGTTCTTGGAGCAATTTTTTTAAAATGATTTGTCACATTTTTCCTTCTCCGTTAATATTTTAGAGCTAATTATTAATATTTTAGGGCTAATTATTATATTAATTATCCCGTTATGAATTATTCAAAAACTAACAAAAAATTAATAATGAATAATAAAAAAAGCCACTAATTAATAACATATATGGAATGTATTTACGTATTAAACATATACTATATGGAATTTTTGGAAAGTACGTAAATTTTGGGGTCGCTTAATTCAAGTCTCTAATCAGACTTTTCAAATTCAATATGACAGATTTAATGTAACTAATTCGAAAAATTATTGTATTTTTCCATTAAACTTGATTTCCATGGATTTTTATAGTCTTCGAATTTAAATCTGACATCCCAATAATTTATAATGTAGGAGAATATTATTTTTATAAAACATAAAATAAAATGTATTATCTGCTGAAATTTTAATTTATATATTACGTATAAATTAAATGTCAATAAGTTATAAATAACTTTATAAATCAAACTTATTTTACTCTTGGTTTCTAATTTTTTATTCTTGTATTACAAAATATAATGCAATAAATATTTTTAATATTTAAATAAAGAATTCCTAACACGTTTTAAAAAAGTTTTATATAGTTTTATAAAGTCCGCTGTTTGAATTTTTCGCTACATTGTGTTTGCAATTTAGAATTTCAACGTTTTATTTTTCGATTGCTTCGATTTGAATTCTGAATCTTAAAAAATCCTAAAATACTATTTTTATATAAACTTATTTTATACGGAAATTGTTGGAATTGTTGGAATAAAGTATTCTACTTTACGGGTGTTATCAGTTAAAAGATCAATATTCATCTGTCACTCAATCGCAGCTCCGTAATTATAGTTTCCAAAAATATGGATTTATTTTCTTTTAAACTAGAATGATATATTTCTGCTCGGTTTGATAATAAGTATTTTTGTTTCTTAAACAATGATGTCATCAATGTGTAATTTTTCGTGAAAAATGAGTATGGATGGAATAAATATATTATATAGAAGTATTTAAAAGTTGATTGCACTAACGCGCACTGATGTCGCTAGAGTTAACTTGGACCAATTGAAAAGTTCCTAACAAAAACAACCCTTGTCAAAAATTGAACGGTTGTTTTGGTATGAATTCTTTAATTAGATCTTCGCTATTGTCATGGTTGGTCAATTTTAGTCTGCAAAAGGGTAGTTAATTGTTAAGCTGAGCTTAACGTCAACGGACTTAATGCTCGTGTGGATAGTTGATCAGCGCGTTTGCCGAAATCTTATTTCGGTGCACGATCGATCTCGATCGACCGACGCTGAACGAGCGACGCATCGCGACGCGGTGCGCTGCGCTCTGCACGTCGGTTACCGCATTGTACATCGTTGGACCGTAGAATTCTAGAAGGGGGTCATCATACGAGGCCGCCGAACACGACGAGCCAGCCGGGACAGTGTACAAGCGTCGTTCGGTGCGGACTGAGTGAAAGGAACCGAGAGGTGTGCGTCGCGAAGGATCACACGAGAGCGGCGTCGCCGTTGTCCTCATCGTCGTGAATAAACGAAAACGCTGTACTCGCGACGAATTATCATCACCGGTGTGCCACAGATTTTTCACGCGGCGAGTGCGTTTAAACAGAATTTATTATCGAAGGGATTGTACACGAATTCCGGTTCGTTGGAGACATCGACGAATTTAACCGTGTTACATTCCTGGGAACGGATACTTACGATCGAGGTGAGTTCCGGTTTGCAGTGCTACTTTTTGAAAATAAGAATTATTGTAGATACGATTTCGAAGATCTATTTCAATTCAAATATATACTATCAAATTTTATTATCATTTAGAGAATAATTTTTAATAACAAATAAATAGTTTAGGTAAAATAATATTTCCAGTTTAACCGCAGTTAAGTTTATAATTTTATTTCTAACGCCACTAAAATAGATACATTATTAACAATATAATTACATTATAATATTTATTGAATATGCATTATTAATAACAATATATTGCAGAGAGATTATTTAGAGATAATAGTTTTAGTAGTGTAGTATTTTTTCGAATTAATAGAAATACGCGATGCGATCTGCAGAACAATCTGTAAAAAATAAACAGACTGATTAAATTACAACTGATAGTTGTACAAAATTACAGTTTTATTTTTTCGAAACGAAAATTTATAGGGCTGAAATACCTATTGTGTGCACCAATTTTTGAATATGTTTCGATAAAGACTATGACGGATCGATTTTTTTTACGAAAAATTATGCAGCATGAATTTCCTATAAAAATTAACTTCTGATACGTGTAAAAAATCTTTCTTTCTCATCATGAGATGCCCACTGATTTATTTATGAGAATGCGGAGAAATTCTTTCCCCCGGAGGATACTTTCCAAGCCGCGATTAGAATGAGGCTTAAGCGGATCTATATTCCTCGTAAAGAGAAATTCTAAAGAAACTTTATCAGCCTTATATGACTCATATTAAGTCATTTTTAGAACAAATTTTTGATATTCAACTTGTCATTGTCATAAAAGTTCATGTTGTCAATAATCATATTTCTATGTTACTGGTATACGTGGAAATATAGACTTTCTGAATTACGTCATTTGTCGTTTAAATTGATAGTTTTGCTCCATTTGATTTTTACTGAAATAGCGGATGTAAATCTGCACTGAGCGATTTCTATCGTCATATTTGCGACTATTTTTGTAATGTTTAAATAAAAAGTGAAGCAACAAAATTTCTACAGTTATATGATACGTTATAAATATACGATAATTAGGTATTTTGAATTCTCAAATGTATTCTGAATTTTTAATGTTTTCAATTATAAAGTAGAAATAATATTTTATGTAAAATTATAAATTGTGTCATATAACATTTTTTATGTAAAATTTTTCTTGCGTAAAGTTATAAATCACAATTTCCTATATATTTATATATATTTTTACGTACGCCGCAGTAAAAGAAATAGCTATTTTTTATTTTTTATTTTATTTAACATTTATATATTATATTAAATATATTAAAATAAATAATATAAAAAATAGCTATGTTAAACTTGTGTTTACCATTCTGTCATAAATACGACATAAGTAAAAATCTGTATCGTAAAAATATAAAAAATAATATCTGATTATCACGTATTACATATAATAATTGCAGACTTATGTTCCGTCACTTTCTATTTAAACATTGCAAAAGTAGCCGCAAGTATAATGATAGAAATCGCTTGAGATTTAAGCCCGCTATTTTTGTATAAATAACATTAACATTAACTTTAACATTAACATATATATTCTGCATATATTTTTATGTTAAATATGTTAGTAAATGACGTAATATTTAATGCTACATGTAGTTTTTATTTCTTATTGGCCTTATAAATAAAATAACTTATATATCTTATAACTGGCATTAGTGAATATAAGTCTTACATTTTTGCTCATTATTATATGGATTTTTTGTCACTTAAGAAAAAAATTTAAGATATTTATAATTTTGTGCAAGCAAATACAAATTACAATCTTTTTTCTAATAGTTTCACCTAAAATTATTGATTTTCTTTGATCTTATTTTATGTAACTCCATCGAACTCGTAAAAATTGAATAAGAGATAGAGTTTTATTCATAATATATATATTTTACTGTTTAAATATAGAAAATATTTAAACAGTAAAATACATATATGCCTAAAATATATAATGCATATATCATTAAATATTTATTTATTATTATAATATAATACATATTGTTGTGTTATAACATATATTTTATATATGAATGTATTCTGAATTTTCAAATGTTTTAATTATATAATATAAAATATAATATTTTTATATAAAATTATAAATTATATTATATAATATATACTTTTTACATAAAATTTTTCTTACGTAGAGTATAAATCACAATTCAAAATTTATATCTCAATTCTGTCGCAAATTATAAAACTTTATAAGCGCGCTTCAAAATCAAATATACGTGTTGTACTTTTGCAAAACAATTGAAGAACGTAAACTTTTGCTACACACTTTAACATTGACATGTTATGCATGTATTTTATACATTGTATTGGCATAGGAACACTAAATATTTTTATCATGGCAAACCTTTACGCAAATTGAAACCTACTTGACGCATAGTGAGTGAGTCAGTTAATTCCTCGCGTGAAATTTATTCGCGCGTGTACTTTCTAAACATTGACAAGAATGCGATTTTCATGTAAACGCGCATTTTCTCGAACCGCACCCCGTCTCTTGTATGCGTTTGAGCACAGAATGCACCGCTAAGAATTTTCAAACAGTTACTATTCGACGTATAGCGAAATCTCCATGGAGTCATCGCATTTTACTACAGCAGTTGTGTAACGTTTTTTATTTGCGCGATATTCTTGCGCGGACGTGAAAGCAGTTTCTTTTTTTTATACGTTTTTTATACGTTTGTTTCGTCATATAACGGGGAGGGACTTTCAACATGCACGATATTGAAAACAAATGAATATTAACATACTCTAATACGCATGCAAGTTGAATAGATATATTGTTAAGTTTGTTAGCTCGTGAAATAAAATGAAACGTCATGCATTGTAATGTAGTTCGCTGGTGAAATCGATCACCTTTTGAGGAAGAAATAGTATAATAGCAGACAGGATAATTATTTATTTTTTATATAATATGCCTGTTACTTAAGACAAAAAATTTAAGACATTCATGATTTCTGTAGGCAAATATCTATTGCAATTTTTTTTTTTTTATATAAATTTTATTTAATAATACTCTTTAATGCATAATTTTATTGGCAAATTTTATTTTAGCAATGTAATTGCGATTATTTGTTCACAACGTCACAACTTCACAACGTTTGTAAATATTGGTTCCTTCCTTAGAAAATCTGCGAAGTTTCTTGAATGAAGTTTCTCTAAAAATTACTCGTGATAAATAATGGTTTGTGTACTCAAAGAGTACACTGCTCAATGAAAATAACGTGATATGGTGTTTCAATCATCGCAATGAAGCATTGAAAATTCAACGGCACAGCGTCTTTTGGTAAAACGGGATTATTCGATGCGCTTCTGCAGCTCTTCCGCTGCAATCTGTAGTACTTTGTAGTCGCTTGGCTGACAATGTTCATCACGCCGCTTTCAAAAGCACAAAGGATTTCCAATAGCATTTTGTGAGGAAAACAGCGGTGTACTCGTAACTTTCGACGCGAGGAACGCTCTATATTCTTATCTTTTCCTTTTTTTTTTTTTTTTTTTTTTAACCAACAAACTGGCTAATATTATATTTTAATATACTATTTGTTGCTTGTGTTGCCTATGATTAAATGAAAACGTATATAGAAAATGTCTTTCCGTATTCTAGCGTTTTATGTCTACTTTATATTGACTATTTGACTACCGTCTAGTATCAAGAATACGAAGTACGTAAAATGTGTATGTTATGTTATAGGCTGATAACGTGATTTTATTTTTATTTTTGTCGATTACAGAGTTCAATGTTCGCAGGCTTTTATTTCAAAATTTATTAAAGGAAAGAGAAAAGTATTATGAAACTTTTTCTTTCGTATTTCTTTTTCTAATCATGCTTCGATCACTTTAGAAATTTTTTAATTTTTTTAAACATTATTTTTTATTCATAAAAAATAAAAAAATTGTTAATCCTAGGCTTCGCGCCTAGCTTCATGTCCAATGCAAAAATCTGATTGCATTTACGCACTTAAAACATCAGAGGCTTTCAATTTTTCTAGCTATACGACGTTACAGAACACCGCGGTTATGATACATTTTTGATATTTCCACGTACGAGAGAATTTCCCTGGCATTTCTGGCGCGGAACGCCAAGCACCCGTGGAAATCCATGAGTCGGTTTCGAAGCGTCCGACCGAGGCAACGGTCGATGGTGATTTTTATCTCGTAGTGGAAAAGTTTTCCCTTTGCCCTCGCGTTAACTCGCGCGTGCTTGTCTCGATTTTGTATTCGCTTTGGTTACCGTCATGGGGATTACGTGACGCTAATGTGGCGATAACTCACATGTGTGCTCCTTGTGAAAATAATATAATATATCGTATATACATATACTCGCGTATTATATCGAGAATCCAGAAAACGCGCAGCATTTTTTGAAATACAGCAACTTGGAATAGCAGCTAAATTCTAAGCACTAAATCATTTTTATTTTGAAATTTAATGTATGGGCCAGATGTTATTTAAGATTTTGATATCCACTCTTAAAAAAGGCATGAAAGATCGATACTCGAATGTATCGAAAGTATTGTTGACGCTTTTCCGCGACACTGATTGGTTATCGCGATTGTTCTGACAGTTTGATACTTTGAGAGCGAAGGTTATTTTGACGGTTATTTAAAATAAAACAAATTTTATTAAAATATTTAGATTTCATAATTATTAAATTTCTATAATAAGTGCGCGCGCGTAGCGTGCGTCTGTATTGTTCTAGTAAACTTATAAAATGTATACTATTTAGATAAAATTTTGTGATTGTTGCAAAATTGTTTATATATTTTTGCAATATTAGCAAATAAAGTTGATTAAACTTTTTCTTTGCTAAAGAATATTAAATTATTTCTTCTTTCGAAATTTCTTATTTCTTCTTTTCCTGCGATTCGACTATCTGGTCCAATCATTATATTTTCAATATTAATTTTTAAGTAATTTTGTTTTGATGTTAATCAAAATGGTACAAATGTAAGATTGTTTCGTGTCAAGGTTAGTGGACTAAAATAAGGCAGAGTGAGTAAAGTAAATTCTAATGCGAACGATCGTTTTACATTAAAATTTGATGTTGAATCGATATAACACACAATTAGCACACATAAAATATTCAAACATGAGAATATAGGTGCAATATATACTACATATTTAGCATATATTAGCATTCATGCTATGCATGAACAGTACTGAGAGCGAAGAATCTGTTTAAAGTTACAAACATTAATAAATTGATTACTTTTACAGAGGATGCATCAATTAAAAAGCATAAACGAATGATAGCGCGTTGCGCGTGGCTGGACCGCGGGCTGTACAATCTGGTTGGGTCAGTGGTGTGTCGCATAGCAACGAAAAATAACAGCGATACGGAGGTCCAGCCTCACGCGCTATTTGTTGTTTTTCCTTGCCATGCGATGCGCCGCTGACCCACCCAGATCGTACAGCCCACGATCTAGCCACGCGCTATCATTCATCGATCCTTTTTAATATTTCAACTATTATTGCGAAAATTGCAAAAGGACTTTTCTATTCAATTTACTACGCACACGAGCATTGGCAGGAACATTATTATTTAAGATTTTGATTTATAAACTTATAAAATGTATACTATTTAGATGAAATTTATGATAAAAAAAATGACGTCTAAAATTACTTGTGATTGTTACAAAATTATTTACTTTTGCAATGTTAGCAAATAAAGTTGATTAAACCTTCCTTGTTAAAGAATATTAAACTTTTACAAACACTCTGTATTCTTAAATTATTATATAATATTAATACTAGATAAAAATACGCATTCCCGATATAGTATTTTATCGTTGATTGTAAAATGTATTTTTCTCTCTTTCTAGATTATCTTCTTTTGTATGTTACTAATTATTTATTATAACATATGCATTTGCATTAATATTTAATTAAACATTAATTAGCATTATTTACAAGAAATAAAATAATAAACAATCGCAGATGTTAGAATAATTTGCATAATTTTGCGATGCTTAAAATAAATAATAATCTGTAATTTTTTTACAATTTTATAAATACTGTAATTATGTGACTTGTGTATTTCGAATCAAGCTATAATTGTAAATGTTGCAGATAATAGTGGCTGGCTAAAAAATTACTTGATGCGCTGAGGATGCGCCGTGATTTCTGCAACGGTAGGCTTCCCTGCGCCGTTGTGTGGGTGTCATCAACTTGCCTGCTGCTCGTTCTCTCGTTGTCGTCATCGATCACTGCAGGTTTGATCTCTACTTTTTTTTCGATGTTTTATTATTTATTTTTCGATGATTTTGCGTCTTAAATTCCGTTCTCTATAATGGGTCCGCAATTTTGCAGATAATATAAACTCTTTTCTAAATATATTTCGAAAATTTAATTAAATCTTACTAGAAGATTTGCTAAAATTTGCTAAAAATTAAACCTTTAACCACATTACTCAGGATAATGATCTTGATAACATTATAAAAATTACTGAAATCAGAAGTGGTCTCCTAATTATAAATAATTACTATTAATTCTTATGAAGAAATTATTGCTTGGAACAAAAACTAATCTGCGCTTTTATTATTTAATTCTTAGCAAATTTTTATGTTGCAATGTTTTTATTCTCTAATTTAATATTTAGAATTTTATTTCAAATTTGGATTGGAAAATTTGAGTAATCGGACGTGTCTGAGTTTGAATGTAATGCTTTTATGAAATTTGCGGTGTGAAAATATTGCGTGAATTTTTGCTTCGGCAAATGATCGATTGATATGCAAGGCATGCGGTTAACGTGTACGTAGTATATTGTATCTGGGACTTTCACCGAGGGCACTTAAATGGTGTACCATATATATCCAGCGGAGCGGATTTTCTTTCCGCATGTGTTTGTCCGGACCGGATACTTTCTTCATTTGTCACGCGACGAGCGCATCACCATCCTGTATATTAATATGTGCCATGTAACGGAACGCGGCAAACTTCCCCACTGTGACGCGCATAAATTTACATAAAAACTTCATCTTTCAACTTTAAAAAGTTTTGTGTGTACTATATCTATACTATAATATTTATCAGTGCTTCGTATATTAATTTTATTATTTAAATGTTGTTTTAATATAAAATATTTAAATATTAATTTATATAATAAAAGTTATATTAATTTTATAAACTAATTTTTAATCAAAGACTTTTAAAACTAGAAAATCTTTTAAAAATTGTTAAAACTGTTTGATTTTGTTTCATACTTTTAAAATTTTTTACAAGTTTTTTTAATTTATCAGTTTGTTTTTGTATTTTCTGTGTGCATTGTTTGATATTATTTGTTTGTTCCATGAATATGCGCTTTTTTTCTCTCTTAAATGCTTAAAGATATTGTTAATGCGATACTATCTGGAAACGCGCTCATAGCACGTTAGATGAACATGGTAAGTGTGGCAGTAGGATGTCAGGAAACCGTTAGCCGTTGACTCTGACTATTTTTATTATTATCATTTTTTTATTGCGTCGTCGTGCTACACTTTAGTCCAAACGTATTTAAAAACGCTGCTTTATTTAGCGTTTGATTGAAGAAAGCACCTTATTTTATTAATGGCGTTCTTTATATAATTTATGTATAAAAACCTATAAAAGAAGCTGCCGTATATTTAAATCTTTTAAAAACAGTTATTGTATATATAAAAAGCTATAAAAAAATTGTCATATATTTAAATTTATCTATGAAAAAAACTATCGCACATTTTAAATAAAAAATATCTGTCGTACATTCTATCTATAAAAAATATGATAATATGGCCAAAAATTACATTATGGTCGTATCTGATTCTTTAAAATATTTATAGCACGCACAAAATAAAATATAATCGGTTAATTTTTTGTTTATATTTTTCATTACTAAATGTTGCTTGTTTTCATAGTTAACAACATAGAAATTGAAGAGGTACGATTTAAGTGACCGGTACGCAACCGTCCCTTTCATTCACAATGATTGATAATGTGACATTAATTTATATCCGCACAGAGCCATTGCTGAGGAGCGTTGGTCGATGTCCATCCTTCGACGAGCAAAATGTGTGTCCATCGAGAGCGCCGGCTTGCGAGAATGACTTTCAGTGCCAAAGCGGCGGCCGACAAATGCCGGTAGAACGTTGCTGCAAGACTGCATGCGGTTTCCGCTGCGTCGCAGGCGAGTTAACCGGATGTGAACAGTTGGCGTCGGCGGCCGTGAGACGGTCGCGGGCACTAGGTGCCCATGACTTGTCGCAGTTCGTGCCGCGCTGCAACAACGAGACTGGCGAATTTGAAGAAATACAATGCGAACCGCGCAATCGTAGCTGTTGGTGCGTCGACAAGATCGGCGTTGAGATTCCCGGTACCAGAGTGCCCAGCAGGGATGCCGTCGATTGTGACAAACCCCGCGCCTGTCCGGCTCACAGCTGTCGAATGCTGTGTCCCTTGGGATTCGAGGTATGTAATATGAATCTATATCTAGCGCGCTAAATATTCGATTCCCGTGACTCACGACACTTTTCACGCGAATATTCCGATGCAAAAAGTGCATTTTGTTTCTCTGTTTTAGATCGATGAGCGCACCGGCTGTCCCAAATGCGAATGCCGGGATCCTTGTCGCGGTGTCACTTGCCCAGGCGCCGGACAAATGTGCGAGCTGATTGACGTGAGCTGCGTGCGACCACCATGCCCGCCGGTGCCCAGTTGCCGGAAAGCCAAATCTCTATTGACAATTTGTCCTGTGGGCGAGCCGCTGCAAATCACTGATTCGCCGCGACCATTTCTCTGCGGCAGCACGCCGGGCAAGCCGACATGTCCGCCGATGTACACCTGTCTGGTGGAGTCAAAGCAGGAATATGGGGGTTTGCTGTCCGTCCAGTGTGAGCCTGCAACGAGCTGGTACATGTCCCGTGGAGACACCGACGACGGGTTCATGCGGACCCACCTGCCGCTACGATTTCGAATGTGTCGGACCTCAAAAATGCTGCAGCAGCGAACGCTGCGGCGGTAATGTGTGCGTGATACCACAGGGCCTTAGTGTATGCCATCGTGACCGTATGCTCGCCGAGATGCTGAGCGTTTCCGAGCGACAGGGTCGCGGATACGTTCCGCAATGCACGGAAGGTAAGGAACGAGTTATTAACTCTTCAAGTGTTGATGATACACACAGGTGTCATTTGAAAATTGACCACTAGCATTAATAACACATACATGCGTTGATTAAAAAAAATATTTTTCCAATACGATTTTTTACTATTGATTTGTAAGGAATTTTGATCTGCGATTTGTGTATGAAGAATACCGTTGCTACACTCTGTAAGATTTTGCGATTTTGTGCGACGCGAGTCACCGTGCCTGGCGCCCAAAATTACCTGCCGATTCTGTTTGATTCATTTTTAATGAACTACCGATACAGCGACGAAGTTGGACGTGCTATTTCGGGTCTAAGAAATAACCCAAGAGTTGTAAAATTGACGCCTAACGTGATAAATTATAGAGGAATCGGGAAGAGGAAGCAATTGCCTGAAGAAAATATCGAACGCCATTATATGTAGTATAAAGAAAATAACATTCATATATTATAATAAGAAAAGAAAAGAAACATTAATATAATCACATACAAGAAGTAATAAAATGGCAATGATAGAAAAGTACGCTAAAATCGTAATATACAAGAATGTCCTTTCGCTCGATGTACTAATCAAATTTCGGCAGGTAATTTTAGATAAAATTAAGTATTTAATTTGACTTGATCTTAATAACTGCTGGATGATAATATAATAACGCGCAGCGTTAATATAATACAATGATATAAGATCATACAAGCTGCAGAATCGGAAAAGGTTCTCTGATCGCGTTCGCCATGCGTTCGCTCTCAAATTCCGCCCACGTACGCCAAGTTCCTCGATTCGCACGATACCGATAATATACAAGACTCGTAAGGAAAAACGGCAAGCATCCAAATAAATCTTCATTTTCGACCGGAACAAATCTACGTCCCTCTTCAATGCGCAATGAAAATGTTTCGGCATCGCGCCTTTCCGAAAATTTTAAATTCCATCGTCTAATGATATTATAAATTTCTAATGCGGGTAAAATATGATCGTCGCTAGGTATTAGATATCGGAAGAGTTGCTCGCGAAGGTACATTACGACTAAAATCACGCTCGGATGAAATCTTCTCCATCCGATTTATTCTTGCTTCGGCCGGAATCTATCACGCCGCGGCAGCTCCATTCGCAGGAACTTCCTCGCTCATTAACGTAGATAAAAATACGACCGTACAGAAGTTCAACGCTTTGAAATATAAAATTTTGTTTTATTTTTCATATTCACCGGATTTATTGCCGACGATTATTACTTTTTCAAACACCTTAAACTCTTTCTTCGCGAGAAAACCTTCTTTAAACAAGAGTCTTCGAAGAATTCATCAACTCCAGAATGCTAGATTTCTATCAAAATAGGATTAAAAAACTTGTAACGTGTTACAAAAAGTATGTAGACTGTAATGGTGCTTACTTCGATTAACAAGGTTTAGTTTGAAAAAATTTATACTCGTTTTAAGTCACCGTTAAAAATCGGACATTTCTTGTATGTAACGCTCTATATTAGTTTTCTTTATAATTTTTATGGTCAAATTTCTAAGGTAGTATGTTGATTCGCTTATTTTTTTTATTGGTATACAGAGAAAACTTCTACTCTATCAAATAATTCTATAGATGGAGGTTTTGAAATGAGACAGTGCTCAAGGAATGGTCTTGTTTGCTGGTGCGTGGATGAGGACGGCCGAAAGATATCCGGCTCCATGGGTCCTGCTAAGAAAATAGATTGCAGATCGATAAACAAAGCTCGCTCGCTTCCGGTGTCTTGCACTCTTCAACAGTGCGCTCAGGTCTGCCAATATGGTTTCAAAACGGATGCTTCCGGTTGTTCGACTTGCGAATGTGATGATCCATGTGAGGGGTAGGTATCGCAATGTGACAGTGATCGATGAACTCTTTACTTGCAAAATTGAAATATAAAATAGATAAAAATAGCAGATGAGGATATTATATTAAAATAATATTATTAAAAACCTATTTTATTCTCATTAAATTTATTAGTATTAAAAAATCAATTTGGATTTTGTTTAATAGAATCATTATTTTTACAGATTTTCTTGCCCAGCAGGAGAAGAGTGCATGCTGAAGCGGGAGGACGGTTGTCCTGATTTTCTCTGCCCAACGAAACCGGAATGTAAACTTAAGAAAACTTACAAGAGCCCCTGCCTTTATGGCACACCGCTTATTGATCAAGATGGAAACGCCGTGACTTGTTCTATTAACGAAACTTGCCCAGATGGCTACAAATGCACGATAGTACCGGAAGCCGATCAATCGGTGTGCTGCTTGGAAGTGTCAAGCTCCACGAATGCACCCACAAGTGAGTATCGTCATAAAAAAAAAATAAGAGAGATAGACTTCCATTTTTTTAAAAAATTAAATATTATATTTGATTGAAACTTGATGTACAAACTCAATTAAAACAAAAGGTTTGTTCGCGTCGCAATGCCCCAACATGCTTCTACTCGCTCCAATACGCTCCAATCTATAGCATACGTAACGTAGTATCAAGAAAGAGTACAATTAAACATAAAAAAATTAACAATCAATGAAATCTTTTTTCTAAACTTGGCTTCGAAATTTTCATGGAGAAACGTTTTCTTTTTGCAAAAATTTAGTGTGCGAGTATCTACGGGATTTCAACGATCGCATGGAAGGCACGAGGGAAGGAATGTTTCTAGCTATCTCCACGCCTCAGTGCGAGCACGATGGCAGTTACAAATCTCTGCAATGTCTCAACGATACGAGTTGCAATTGCGTGAACCATCGTGGCGTCATCCTGAAGACTGGATTGGACCGCGCCGCTTCGGCCAACTGCGAGGCTATCCGGAAGGTCACGCAGATTTGCAAGCATCTTTACTGCAATCTGGTCTGCCCGTACGGTTACGAGGTGGACACGGCTGGCTGCGAGCAGTGTCGCTGCCACGAACCGTGTCACGATGTTGTCTGCAATCCGCATGAGACTTGCATGATGATCGACGTGAATTGCGGTCCGGAACAATACTGTCCTGCGGTGCCGGCGTGTCTAACAACCAAGCCAGGCCAGTGCCCGTATCTCGTGCCGAGTTCCTCGAGCTGCGAGCTGCAGTGCAGTAACGATCAGGACTGTCCGTCCGGCGATAAGTGCTGCTCGACCGGTTGCGGCACGCAATGCGTGGCGCCCGTTATGGCAACGGCATGTCAGCACGCGCGCGCGGTCGCCGAACACGCCGCCCGCGAATCCGGTGAACCCGCGCGAAGAATCTACATACCGAGGTGCGATGCAAATGGCGCGTTTGAACCGGTGCAATGCCACAACGGCGTGTGCTGGTGCGTGGACGAGGAAGGCAAAGAGGCAGCGGGCACTCGGGTGCTTGAAGGCATTGTGCCGCGCTGCAACAAGCCGTTGAGATGCCCGGAGATCGACTGCGAGCTGAACTGTCCGAACGGTCACGAGTTGGACGCGGACACTGGCTGCCCGACCTGCTCGTGCCGCGATCCCTGCCGGAGTGTGACGTGTCGTGGTGAGAACGAGGCGTGTCGGATGGTGGAGGTAGCGTGCAGCGCACCGCCATGCCCACCTGTGCCCGTCTGCCTACCGCAGAAGGACAATCCGTGTCCGAACGGCGCACCGTTGCTCGATCAGAATGGCATGGTCGCCACGTGTGGCCCGCAGGGTCATCATTGTCCGTCCACGCACAAGTGCGAGCTGTCGCCGTTGGACGAGTACGCAGTGTGCTGTCCGAAACCGCGCGACGTGTGCTTCGAGCCGCCGAAAAGAGTGCCCTGCAATCCGAGCGCGGGCTTGAACGGGACAGACAGGTGGTTCTTCGATTCGGAACGAAACGAGTGCCGGCGTAAGCACGAGTGCACCATTGGTCACAACGATTTCGCCAGCCGCCTGGTCTGCGACACTGTTTGTCCGGTGTTGTCGCAGTGCGAGAGGCTGCGCGAGAAGAACTTGAAGAAATCGCAGAGACTCAAGCAACCTACGTTTCTGCCCAAGTGTAATCGCGACAGCGGAATGTGGGAACCGGTGCAATGTCTGGAGCACGTCAATGTCTGCTGGTGCGTGAATCGCAAGGGTCAGCCGATCAAGGGCTCGCTCACCAGAGGCACCGAGCCGAAGTGTAACTTCCGGCAAGCCAGACGGGGCGGCAGGGGACCTCCGCAAGAGATAGACAGCGAGATTCAAGCGATCATGGAAGACGTGGCTCTGTTGGATCCCGATACGGACGAGCGACCAGCGGACAAGATTCTAGGTACTAGGTGTCAAGCGATGAAGGACAAAGGTCAATTGCCAGCGATATGCGATCCGCAAGGCAAATTCGAGCCTACGCAATGCGCCGGCGATACGTGCTGGTGCGTCGACGAGGCCGGCAATCAGTTGATTGGCACCGAGCCCTTTTTGAAGGGAACAAGTATTTGCTGTAAGTGCGAGATCTCAGCGTTTCTTTAACTTTTAGAGGAACAGAAAGGGGGGGGGGGGAGGAATTCAAGATTATTTTTCAAAATGTAATGTATATGTTTAACGTAAAATTTTCTGCAAAATGTGATATTGATATCGAAACGTTCTTATCTCGAAGCTCTGTATGTATAGAATTTTTTCAGATTTTTTCGAACTACATTTTAATTTATTTCAGTGCCTACGCCGGTTGAAGCTGTTGAGGTGACATTACGATTTCCTGGTAGATTCCTTGCTACGGACGAGGCACGATTCGTCAAGGAAGCCGAAAACTTTCTGCGCGAGCATGGTGCCCGACTGCGGAAAACCGTGGAAGTGGAGATCAATCAAGACTCGGCGATTTTGAATTTTGAGATTATAGGTGCGAACAAGGTGGATGTGGCATTTCATTTAGAGGAACTTACGCGAATCCAGAAGCTATCCATGTTAGGCTCAGCCGCGGACGCAACAACCTCGCGCTTCACGCATCGCTCCGTTCCTGCAGCAGCACAGAACCGGATCGTCGCGTTGGAACAGCGTGAGATTCTCACACAAGTGGAAATGCCGGTCTATCAAACGGCCACGCTCGTACTCGCGGCCGGAAGCGCCTTTATTATTAGCAGCCTCATTATTCTGCTGATGCTGTATCACAAGAAGGTACGATATCGTAACAACATAATTTCATAAAATTTTATTCAGGCATCGAGATTATTAGATGTACACATATCTTAGCAGTTAGCAACAAATAAAATAGTTTTTTTTTTTTAAGTTTTATTTAGAGAAGAGATACCAAAATTGACATATTATGTGAGCGTCGAAGAGTTGCATTTGCGTTACATTATGTTGTTCCAGTTTCGAGAAAGTTCAAATGTTTCTACTACCACCGAAAGCATTTGCAAAGTGTATAAAGAAGCAGCTGTAACTTCCGAAAAGTTAGAAAATGATTTGCAAAATTTCCATACGGTGATTTTGATTTCAATAACAAGTTACGGTCTAGACGCTCTCCCATAAAGAGATAATGCAATCCGCAATTTACTCGAAACAAATCCATGAATTTCGAAAGACCATCGAAAACGATAGAAATTATTTCAATGATTAGATAAAGCGATGTGTTTTTTTTATTAATAAAATAATTAAATTTCGTTGAAAATTGAGCTGAACTTTTTGACACACTCAATAATATATTTATGTATAAACAAGAAAAATAAAAGTTAGGAATATTTAGTGAATTAATTGACTAAATAGAACACGTTTATATCAGTTTCAATAAAGTAGAATATTTAATTTTTGAAAAATAGAAGTATATCTCTCTAGGAGGTCTACGTTACAAAATTGAATACATACTGATTTGGTACACAAGTAAGCACTAAAAATTTATCAACTATTAGTTTTTAATAAATTAACTAACTAAACAAATCTCATCTTCACATTAGTTTTGATAAAATATAACATTTATAATTTCTGAGATGTTAAAGTATCTTCTTAAAAAACTGTCAGTTTTGATGATTTTCTTTACTGATGAGTCATATTTTGCACTTGCAAGAATTATTCACAACAGGTCTCTTGTCGAATTAAAGAAATCTGTTGTAGATGAAGATGAAGGATGCCGCAAAAATGCTTTCCATGGATCAACACTTCCTTGCTTACAGCCAACAGCCGATCTATATGATATCAAGTACAGAACAGGATGAAAAGAAGAAAGAGGCTGCAACGCAGCAAATATTACAAGACATCCATACCTCCGATACTATCGTTGGGGCGTAAAATTTGTGACACTATTTACTTAGATTGTTTTTATCTTGTACAATAGTGATTCTTATATATTTTTTTAAAGAGTGACTTACTTAAATGATAATTTGGAATTGTATAATATTATATATAAGTACAGGAATATTAATCAAACTTTCTACCTTTCTTCAAAGTACGTGCGTAACTTGACCTTATAAAAAGTTGGAAATCACAGTTGCGTTTAATCAATCGTACAAATCTTTTGGATCTCCCCATTTTTTTAAAATTTAATTAATTTATTATAGAATTGAATATAAAATGATAAAATTGTTTATTTATGCACACAGAATTACACACACGCGCGTGCGCGTACGTATCAATATCACAAAATTTTAGAAGCCTGTTATTTTTATAGATTATTTCTAAACTATCTGTCTACCTCTTTATAATATGAGGGGCGTTCAATATCATCTCGGTAATGTGACGGATTTAGAGATATAAGTGATTAAACTATATTTTTATGGGAATTTAGAAAAGCTAATTATATACTAAATATAATAAGTGTTTGAGTATAAAATTACATTACATTAAAAAATAAGAAAAACAATTCCATATCTATCTGTTTACTTTAATACTTATACCGAGAATATATTCAATACTCTTCGTAAAATATTATATTTTGAGAGATAGAAACTTGGGTCTAATGAATATACAATAGACATGGGGGTTTTAAGAATTTGCAGCGTAGCTCGACAGGTGAATCACTGTTACACACGGTATAATATGTATTAACATATTATAGTTAAAATCGTATCATGTACATTTTATTATCTTTCACCATAATTTATTGTCCACACGTGAAATTTATCGCTGTAGCTCATGAACTCGATGATCGACCGGGTGTATTATATACGTTTAAATGCCATATTTATCAATATACTTTTATCTATAAAAGAATGTATTAAAAGACTATACGTATTTAACATGTATTTAACTATGTATTTAACGGGTGTGTATTTAACGGGTATTTAACGTCTATGTATTTAATGAGTATTTACGATAAATTTGGGACACTTTGTATAATGCCTATAAATTTATTCCAATAATTGCCCGCAAATTACTATTTCAATCCTCTTAAGTTTTATAAAAACAGACATGGAATTAAAAAATCAAATTTGGAAGATCTCGAGAAAGATTGTCCTTGATTCTATTTTGTGATTTTTCTAAAACTCATTAAAAGAAAATTTTGCTTGTTTAAAATAACAAGTTTCAAAACCGGAACAACAAGTTTACTAATGGACGAGATATACATATATCATGAGTCGATCGTCGAGGATGCAAACTATATTTGAAAATGATTCCGTCATTTTCATTGATTTATCTTCATTGTTTTTTGACATGGGAGTAGCCAACACAAAGATGTTCTAGCCTGAAAATCATAAGGATCAGGACATCATTGCGTTAATACATCGCGTGGGTGTAAATATTAAGTTTATATTGTGTTCGATTATTTATATAGAAAAATAAAGGTTGCAATTTTCTATATTCCAAAAACGAAATTGTACTTACAAAACATAAATCCATTTACTATGTTATATTAAAATACGGAAATATTATACTATATTAAATTAAAATACCGAAATGCTATGCACTGCCAAATAGTATGTATTTCCCTAGAAGTGTATTTCACAGAAATATAGTTTCTGAAGCTTCTCACTTTTTTCTTTCTTTGAAATATACGGCATATTTCAAAAATATATGTATATTCTCGTTTAAAAAAGATTTCCAACTTATTTAATAGAAATTTATTTAGCGGAGACAAACCCATTTAACGAATTTGTTTTGTAGAGAATCGACCAGGCGCCGCGGAAGTATTTTTCATCTATATGTATGTAACTCCATTCAAACGCAATATAATAGGCCGTTCAATAAGTAGTATAAATGTGCGAAAAATATGCACACAGATATTTTGTTCTAATTAACTTAATGCGCTTAATTTTCTTCGTTATATTGTGTACTTCAATTAAACAAGTAAATAGTAAAAAAAAAGAAAAAAAAAAAAGAAAAATAACCCATTTTTCCACCTTTGATGTAAATATTTGATACTCAATATTTTCGGTCGTGAAATACCTGAAGAAAACAGAAAAATTTCAGAGGAGGGACGTAGCCGCCCTCTGAATTATCTCTGGATGGGCAGTCGCCCCCTCTGATCCCTCGGTTCCGTGGCGCCAGAAAATGCAATAAATCTGTAACCTAATTATTTGTCAACTTATTAATCTATAACGTTATATTACATTGGATTGTAATGAGCAATTTTGAATTTTTAAATGAATAACGTTATTATTCTTTACGTATTTATTTGGATGAAAGATAATAATACGTGTACAATTAATTACAAATTTTAGAAATTAATCGACAAATAAATACTTAATTTTTGTGTTAGTACAAATGCGTTTTGCTAGACATGTAGAGTAGGCAAATTTATTTGAAAAATGCAACATTCTTCTTACACAATCAAATATTATTCCTATCTTAGAATCGCACACACAAATAATATTTGTAAAACACAAATATACCAAATTATAATGTAACTTTTTCTTCGAAAAAGGTTACTGTGTTGCATTAGATAATTTCATATCAGATTATACTTTAGAGATTGAGATTACAAATTGAAAACTGAAAATTAAAATTCGATTTATTAAATAATTTCAGTCTTATTGTTCGCTTACTTTGGCTTGAAAAATCTAATTTTAATCAATTTGCAATCTTTAGTTTCTAAAGGATTGTCTGTCTTAAAAATTTTTTACAATAATAATCTCGAATGGGACAGCTCCAGGAAAAATAAAGATAGACAAAATATGGGTTCTTATGTAATCGAATCTAACACTTCAGCAATTGCATTAGTACATTGACGCAATTACTGAAGTCAATTTACGATATTATCACACAAATACAAGAAAGAGAGAAATGGCGCGATTATCTTTGCTTGTCAACCAGTCATATTACCAGGAAGAGTTTCTCGCAAATTGCACGTTAGGTGCATATGTAGTTCAATAATGTTCATACATTAATTTGTAATCTCTAACCTTTGCTAATATTAAAATTTGCTAATATTAAATTGCTAATATTAAAATTTAAATGCAGCATATGATAATTTATACTTATTATACAAGATGTCCAGATATTACTATCAAAAAGAAAAATAAAAAATTTATGTAAGAAATAATAATAGTGCTATCTTTATGTCTTCTTTAATAAAAGTTATACTTGCATCGCGATATATAACTTCTTTTTTATTGTATCTTACTGTGTATTAAATATTATTCGGCCTCATCGACCTTATTGTTCATAATTCTACATTATGCTCATTGTATTTAACTCTTAAATAAGCTTAATTAAAAATAAACGATAAAAATGATAAAAAGAACATGCTGTTATAATTTCTGTATTTTACATATTTTCTTAGCAACAATTGAATAAGCTTTTAATTATCGAATATATTTAATATTATTTTTGGTTATAACGATTAGATCAAAGGAGATATTGGATCAGAAAGTTTAGAAAAATGCATCAATGCAACAAATTCATAAAAAAAAAATTACAACAAATAATATTTGGAAATCTTTTCTTAAATTAAATAAAAAAACCATATCATATTTGTTTTCAAATGCCATTTTATTATTAAAGAATTAATAATATATATAATATATATAATATAATAATAGAATAATAGAATAAGAATTTTTATCATAATTAATCTTTAAAAAACATTCGGACTTGCATGTTGTATATTTATATTATTTTAACCACAATTCTAGAACAAATACAACTGCAGAAAATAAAAATTGACAAATTTTACTGATTATTAATGTAAATACCTTTTCGGCGATCTCTACAGAAGT